GGGTAGATTTTTTTTTTGTGGGAAACAAACTGTTAATTCACAATCAATTGTACTTATGAAAAACCCCTAAACCTCCCATGCAGCCGCTAGAATTTACCGGTGCTCAGCTATCTTACCGCTTGGAGACTAGTTGGCTTTCTGAACTTACGCAATATCTATCTGAATTTGAATATTTGCATAAAAAACGAGCAAAATAAAATGACACATTGTAAATAGTACATTTTACTGAAATCAAACTTTCTTTGAAAAAGGAAAATTAATTGTAAGGAATAAGATGGATGCATTTAATTAAACGGCGGGCAATAACAGCGCTGATCATATGTTTCGTATAGGAAATCATTTTCTTCGTGTTATCGTATAACGGAAAATATCCACAGATTATATTTTACAGTTTTTAAGAAGAAGTCATGGGTTATCTGCTTTAAGAGAACACCTTCGTGGGCAATTTTCTAAATAAAATTGGCTTGAATTCACGTTACGCATCGGGAAAAATCATAAAGACCACAAGCAGCTAAACTGTTCGGTTGCCAACAACAAACTACCAACATCCAGCAATCTTATTCACTCAACTATAGTGAACTTAAACTAATGTTTGTATATTATTAGTAGTATTAAAATAACGAAAATATTTATTCTAATAAAAATTTTTGTTTGAATATCCTCCCTAGTAAGGTATTTCCTTTGGTTGGAGATTTGTCAACAATAAATGCTATGTTCAAACAAGACATTTATTTAGAGCATAATGCTTCAAAAATGTATGCTGGGATCCCTAGAAAAAAAAATATCGCCGGAAAATATATCTCCGAAAAAATATTTAATTATTCATATTCTTATGATTAATTATTAAATAATTAATAACTTTTATAATTATTAAATGAAATGCTTATTTATACTTTACCAAATGTACAGCAACACTCTTTCTTTACAAAAATACCATATTGAATAAATTATATTGTAAGCTAAAGTAAGTAACAACATTGCTTAAGTTTAAATAACAAGCATGAACAAAATAACAAAATTGAAAATTGAACAAACAAATTAACAACAAAAACAACAAATCAGCAGTTATTATTCAAAATTTATTTCAAAATTTTCACAATTAATATTTCATTATATTCTTATCTCGTTCATTAACTTGCTTCAATTTTTGGAAGTCAAACAACAAAATCGCTTATGTTCATTTGCGCTTTTGCAGCTGAATGATGGTTCGGTAAAACCATCGAAACTAGTCCTGTGAAAATTTGAAAATATAACGCTGATTTTTGTTCTTTGACTTCCAAATTAATTGCTTTGTTTGTTATTAATATGTCTCATCTTTCCTATTTCAGATAAAATTTACTAGTGTTTCTTGGACAGGAAAGCAAGAATTTTTAATTTGAATCAATAAATTTATGATACACTGAAAACGGTTTTTTCAGGTTTCAATTATAATTCCCTTTCTGAATATCTTGAATGTATATGAAAAAAGTAAAATGCAAATTTAATATTATTATATTATCACCCTTAAAAAACACCCAAATATTTCGTTTATTACTCTCTTAAAACTACGTAATAATTAAGGAAAAAGAAATTATTTAAAATAATTATTAGTTGCATGCAGTTGAAGAATATAGGAAAATGCTGAAGGTTTTAAAGAATTTTAATTAATGACAAAAATACAGAAAATCGGAAATAATACGAAATGTTTCAGCAATATCAGAATCAGAATATCTCAGAAGGAATGAAAGTTGCACCAGATATTTGTCAGAATATAATTTTAGTGATAGCAGTTTAATCAGTCTGCATTGAAATTCCGGTGATAATCAGTGACATACAGATTTAGGTTACTTAGGTTAAAAATGCGTAATAATTTATAATTTAACCGAGTAAATTTTAAAACCAATTTATTTGAAAACTAGCAGCTTCGCTGCGAGCCTTCGTCTGGCTTTTAAATGTACCGGGAAAATGGCTGAAGGGAACTCCAAACGTTAAATTTAAAAACTGCGTAGGATTTTACCCTGCAGAACAAAAAATTACAATGAAATAAGCTATATCTAATACAAATATTAATTATCCTAATTAAAAAATTAACCAACTTTCCGTAGAAGAACAAAAATCATGCAAAACTTTTCAATATCTTATAAACAGTGAAATAAGCAAAAAATAACATGAAAGCAACTCAAAAAACATAAAATTCCGCGCAGAATTTTACTCCACAGAACAACTTTATCAAAAAAAAAATCAATAAAAAAATATATTTATATTTATATAAAAATGACAATGAAATATGCCAAAAAACAGTGACATAAGAAATACGATGAAAAATTGTTGCCAAACCCATATTTCTAAAAGAATGAAACTATTCAAAATGATGCGATTTCATCAAAAATCTATCAACAACAATAAGACAGGAAAATTGTTGCCAAAATCACATTTTTAAAGATGTGAGATGTGAGAAGTGTACTCGGAAGCTTCATTTAAAAAAATCTTTTAAAAATACAAAATATTATCATTTTTCCAAAATTCTTTTTGTAAAAGCATTCGCAAGGATGAAAGTTTAACGTGTCCAAAAATCAAAGAAAAATAAACTGTACATTTTTAAAAATAAACTTTTTTAGAAAAAATCCCATTGAAAAAAGTGTTAAGCTCCCTTTGTTAATAAATTCGTATTTAATCGATTTATTAAAAACACGAAATTTATTTTAAGTTCGTAAAAATAGCTAAGTGCCTACGTTTCATGACGATGTGAAAATGGAGTGTGTAGAGTAAAATCTCGCTTTCCTATAGCCCATTATGTTTCAAAATGACACGATTTCGTCACAAAACATGAAATAAAAAAAATTCGAATTCGAATTTCGAAAAAAATCGCTTCGAAGTGCACTGGCTCTTGTGTAGATGTACCTATGTACCAAATTTCGTAGCCGTGGGTCTATTAGCTTACGCGCAGCGCGAACGAAAGGCACACACACACAGACAGACTCTTTCTTTTATTATATGTAGAGAAGATATGTAGAGATAAGATTGTTTAAGGGAAGGAAACTTTTAAGTTTCGCAGCTGTACCCCTGCGGCATTAAGACGGTCATCACGGAGAGTCTAGCCTTTTGCAATTCTCTTGAGAGCTCACCAAACAATATTTAGTAATCAATCTCACTTAGCGGAATCATTGAAGTAAAATTCTGGGAGGGATGGGAAATAACAAAAGAACTGCTTGACAATTTTCAGAGGTTTAGGGTTATTTTCGCGACATTTTACGGGAAGTTCGGTCCAAAACTAGCGACAGTTTTAAAGGGATTCGCAGAAAATCACTCGACAGGCTAAGGGTTAAGCTACGAAGAAATGATTACAGCTTTGTTCAATTGTGAGGCTATTTTAAATGAAAGACCTTTAACTACAGTATCATCTGATCCAAGTCTTACTCCTCTTACACCAGCAAATTTTTTCAAGGAAATCAAAAGTAGTACCATACCAGACCTTAAAATTAATCCAAAGTCAAATAGTTTACTGCGAAGATATAAACAGTAAGGAAGCATTTAGAAAAAGATTTTGTCAAGAATGTTTAGGAGCATTATGTACAAAACAAAGGCATAAAAAATTCACCCCTCTAAAAGGAGGAGACGTAGTTCTCATTGGAGACGACGATAAAAGGAGACAACTTTGGCCCCTTGGTCGAATAGTTAAAGTACTACCAGGAGTTTATGGTATTGTTCGTCGTGCTATTGTAAGGACTCAAAGTGGAGAACTGGTCCGAGCTGCCCAAAAATTATATCCTTTAGTACTTTCTGCACTAGAAACCACACCAAAAATAATACAAAATGAAGTAAAAAAATAAAAGAGAAAAGGAGAAACAAGAAACTGCTGGCAAAGTATTAAATGAGAACTATCCTGATCGAGCTAAAACAAAAGTAGAGAACCCTGTAACAACTAGCAGAGGCCGCGTAATTAAAGCACCCATAAAATTGTCACTTTGAACTGAATAAGTTTTTTTTAAACTTTTTAGTATTAGCAACTATATTTATAACTTTCTATACTTTAGTTAACTTAGGTGGGAGTATGTAAAAAATTGTATCTTTCAAATATTTACCAACGTAAGTTATTATTTTGTTTATATTTTATTTTTATGTTTGAATAATGCGTGCTGAATTACATTTTTTGACATGTTTATAACTGCGTGATTTTTCAGTAGTTCTGGCAACAATAAAATATTGCTATGTCTCTTAAGAGTAATATTTATGCTGTGTTCTTGAATTAAAGGAGGCATCTTTTTGTGATATTTAAAGCTGCATATATTGAGTTTCGATGTGCTTACGTCTAATAAATGTATTTTATGAAACAGCTTGGAATTTTAATGAATCTTTATTGACTTTGGAGTATTTATGAGAGGCAATTATTTGTCAGATTGAGTTAGCATTATTTCATAAAGTTATCTTGTGACTGAGGATGTGAATAAACTGAGGATCTGCTAAAGATTTCGTTTAGTCATAATCAGAAGTTTCATGTGAGTGTGCTGAAACCTCCATGTTCGCTGTATGTGCAAACGCTGGGTTTAACTGTAAATTCGACCTGACATCAGCACAAGATGTCATGCGCAAGAAAAAAATGAGTAAAAGAAGTTGCAATCTACTCTACTAGAAGACTCGAAATTTCTTAGCAGCCTTGCAACTGAATTTCTCGGGAGACCTCTGACCGCAGTCGACGCCGCGACTTGGAGAGAACACGCAAGAAAGAGTAATGTGCTAATCAATGCTTAGATAGTGAGTTACTTATTATATATGGATTCTTTGATACTTCAGTTAATCAGCTGTTGGTGAATGCTGGGAGTAATAGTTAATTTTGAATCCTAAATGTTATCTTGTCTGGAATCTATATATAGAACCTCTATTCATGTAAATTTAATAAAGTCTTATTTTTTAAATTTGAAGTGTATTTTTAATTCCCGAAAGAATGAGTTTTTTAGTTATCCTTCAAATTAATTCTGGCATTCTTTAAGTGCAATGCCCGATTCATTAAAAATATTTAGGAGAATAAATCTGGCAACAAATCACAGCGCCCTATAATTCTCGTTTTGTACTCGATATGGTCATCTGTTTCAAGTAAAGTAAGGGAAGGTGTGTATAGATGTAAGAAAAAAAAATATATTACATATATGTGTATGAAATAATACTGGTATTTTTTATTTTATTTTTGTATCCTGTAACGTATTGAAATCAAAATGTCTTGTTGTTCTCTTTTGTAATTGCGATTCATTTGGATTTACTTACCGTTGCGAACGTGTAATATCCGATAGCATATATTATGTTCAATTTTGTATATTAATTTATTTAGTTAGTGATACATTTCAGTGATGGATTGAATTTATATGATAGTACTTACTATCTTTTTTTCACTTTCCAAATTGTTGCATTACGCATTCTTTGAACTGACATTTTGTTAGAAATAATGTTTTAAATTTCAGATGTATTCGTTTGGGACAAAAATCGTCAAACCTCATAATGAAAAGCTTGATGAACTTGAAGCCACAATATCACAGGTAATAGCTGTTTGTAATAATGTCGGAAGTGTTCTAAGTTAGATTTGTGTATTAATAATATCGTTTCTTTATAGTCGTTATATAATATTAAACAATTCTTTTTAGGCTCTCCTGGAACTTGAATTAAACAGTGATCTTAAAGCGCAGTTACGGGAGTTAAATGCAGTTGGTGCTAAAGAAGTTGATGTTAACGGCAAAAAGGTAAGATAAGTTTATTTAAAGTCTGCACGAGTTTTCCATACATTAGTTTTACAGATATTTTAATCTTGAAGCCAAATTAACCATTTTCTGGAGTGAAGAATGTAGTAGAACATTTGTACGGTTTATATTTTAATATATATTAGAATAAAAAATTTCTTTAATTAATTGGTGTATCGAGTTTTATAATATATATATATATACTTGTAATTGAACAAGTTATGAGAATAATGATAGATGGAGTCCATAAGATACTATTACTAAATAGCTTGTGTTTCTGCTAAAATAATTTTAAGATTTCTCCATGAATATAGTGAAAGTGTGCTATAATTTTTTAATTCCTGATTATAGCTATTTTAAGTATTTAGCTGTTCGTAATTTTGTTTTTGTATGCTGTTTAAGAACTCGTTCATAGCTTTAAAGAAGTTTTGTTTTTTTCATGTAACTGTTTACTTTCTTAATATGTTTTTAAGCTTCTAGCTACAAGCTATTCATTTGATTTGTACATAGTTATTGAATTCTTTAGCTTTACCTGTGGATTTCATTTCATTGTCAAAAAAAATCTTGTGCTAGTATTGCATAATAATCAGTCTTAAAAGCCATTTGTGAAAACTTTTACTGTAATATCCTTTGGGCACTCACATTAATGCTGATTTACATTTGCAAAGAAACAAATATTGTTTACGTATTACTTTGCACTCTAAGAATTTTAGGTACTCTTTTTGTTATTGGGACCAGATTAAAATATGCATGGATGTAGGTGTTTGTGGGTATGTGTGCATATATGCATATATAGACATTTCTGAATTTGATCCCAAAAACAGGAACGAATTTTAGACATGCCTATTTTATTAAATTTACTATTGTTCTCAAGCTGATTGATAAGTGTACTTGCTAGCATATTTTTTCTTATTTTCTGGTTGAAATTTCGGTACAGCTTGAGTATAGGACCCCATTGGCGATTTTTGGCTTGGGAGACTTTTTGCACAGTTGTTTTTCTGGTAACCCAGTTGATTCTAGAATACTCCACTTCGGCAACCCTGTCGCAAATGTCATTTTCTTCGAAGGAACAAAATATTGATTTATTCGACAAATTTCTGGAAATTATAACGGACATAAATTGAGCAGAGTATAGGATTTCTTTATAAATTTACCATGATTTTGTAAACTTTACTAAATTTCCAGCATTTCTTTTATTTTTAATTTAAACATTTATTCTGAACTCCTGTTTTCAGTTTTATAACTTAAAACTTGCATTTTCAATATTGCTGCTTAAAATATCCCTCCATGTACTTGTGTATTTTCAAACTTTCTTTAATTTAAACATGCATTCTTAACTCCTATTTTCATATTTTTAATTTAAACATTTATTCTGAGCTCCTATTTTCAGTTTTACAGCTTGTAATTTGTATTTTCAGTATGACTGCTAAAAATATGCCTCCATTTATTTATTTTCAGTTTCACTGTTTAAATATATATTCTAAATTTGTATTTAAAATTTTTCTTGTTAAAATGTACATTCTAATGTCTATTTTCAATTTTAACTGCTTTTACAATATGCAATAAAATATAATAAATTTACAAATTTAACTTGCCAGTATATTTTAAAATATGCACTTACTTACTTATGTGCCTTCAAATTTGCTGTTTAAACATATATTCAAAAATTGTTTCTGGTTAAAACGTGCTTTCTAACTTGTGTTTTCAATTTTAATGGCTTTGGTCGCCAAACCAAAAAATCGCCAATGGGGTCCTATACTCAAGCTGTTCTGAAATTTCATAGTGTCTGGTTTAAAAGTTTTAATACGGTTTTCTCTTTCTAAGCCAGTTTTCTCTTTGACAATTTTCATGCATACTACTGTATTCTTACAGAAATGTTACCACCCTTGCAGGCAGATTCCGTGATTGAATGCGGGTTTTCATCCGCAGAGAACCCGTTGGCGCCGTTGCATTTTTACTCGCCAAGCTCGCCGTTCATTGACGATGAGCCGATCCGTAAACATGATATTTTGTAAACGTGATTTTTAGTGCATGTAAATTCAAATTAGCAGACAAAACAATATATTAAGCATATGGTAGTAAAAATTCACAGATAATAAGCATGTAGATGCTTATTATGTTTAACTAACCGGTTAAACGTGATATACGAAAATAAATGTGTATTAAATTCAAGTTAGCACAGAAAAGAATATATTAAGCATAAGACAATATATAAGGATTTATAACGGAAATAAAAATTTTATTTAAAAATATAAATTAGTATTAATATACTGAAATTAACCGGTTAAGCGTGATATACGAAAAAAATTTGTCTTAAAATTCCAGTTAACACAGAAAACAATATATTCCTTACACCAGCAGTGGTTTGCTAATTTTGATGACCATGGTGATGCATCGAACTATTCTGACATCTTAGATAATCAATATTTTTTATTTCAATTTAATCATCTATTTATGTCACACCTGCCATCCTCTGAAAGGTTATTGTTAGAAAAGCATTAACAATATGTTATGTTGTTAAAATTTTACTCCATAAAAATTGATTTATTTTCATAATTTTAGATGACAATAACCAATAATAAAAGTAAAAGCATTACTTAATTATTTAAAATGCACATGCACATTTTTTCGGTCTACGAAATCAAATTATTTTAGACTTTGGAAACCTCATGGTTCTTAGAGCTGTTAATAATTAAGAATACAACGTGAACAGCTGTATTACAAATTAGCATTCACCTCTTCTTTCATCCCGAACCGAGAACCGGCATCTATCTACGAAAATATTTCTATCTATTCGTTGTTAAAAATTCAGAAAAAATAATAATAAATAAGAGAAGAATAATATAAATCTGCAAATGCGAACAACGACAGTGTTAATTCAACAAAATAAACGCAAGAGAATGGTTGCAAACTTCGAACAAGCGAATAGGATAAATCTGATGGGTTACCAAGTTTGAACTATTATCGCCAATGTTGGCAATGTTTACATTTACCGGGTTCTCTGCGGAAGTGCTTCCTTGAATGCTATTAAATTTGTTTTTGTTTGCATTTTTGCAATCTTATTACAGTTTTAGCCCACCAGTGACCAAGCAGTAAAGTCGCTGCTAGTTCGATCTGGAACTTGAATCCAAGTGATCAGGCTTGCTGCGTGTGTGCTTTCATGCTCTTTTCCATGTGTAATGTGTATACGAGATAGTCTCTGTTAGCCCTCAAGTGCTTTCCAGTAATTAAATAAACAACTAACCGTATTAGAGTTTTGTTTTTTGAATATTGGGTGTTGGATGGGCCTTGTGCTGTAAAGCTTAGCAGATTCAAGGTATATTGAAATTTGTCTAATACCGTAATAAATAGATGTTGGCTTTTGGGTGATTAAAAATAGTCTGTTGCAACTTAAATCGCTTATTTTTGTCTAGCTAATTACCATATTTTTAACTAATTTTTGGTTACTTATTTCGGTTGATCTTTACATTATGGTAACTTGGCGTTTTTTTGGCAAAAATTTGCCGACCAACTCTCCTACAGCAACCCTCTATTTTTTTTTTCCCGCCGCCATTTTGTCTTCACAAAGTAAAGACATGTTTCTTTTCTTTTTATCTACTGAACACTTCTTCCAACAATCTACTAGCCAAATTACACTTATGCTAGAAATTTTATCTAACAAAACTGCTTAATCATGACAAATATTCACTGCAAAATTGGGAAAAAGTGCACAATACCATACTCCTTACGCGTTTTTAAAAATAACACATACACATAAACCATGTACACGCCGACTTATTTTTACTTAAAAAAACATCCCAGAATTGTACAAAAATGGCATTGCACACACTTTACTATATCCATGTACACTGCTTTTTCTCATAAATTAGAAAAATTTCACGAAAATACATGACAATTTTCTCAATCTTTAAACCCGGTAAAAAGAACATGTATGAAATTACCTGATCGCGAAAAAGTATTTACCCTTTCCAAATATGAACATTTCCACATATAAAATAAATAAAATATCCAAAAACTTTTACCTCTAAATCATCTATTACATTATACACATCACCAACGAATTCATACCGCAACCATTACAAATACTTAGTGTCAGATATTTAAATTATTTTCCATGCACGTTTACTTCAACTAAAACGTATACCAAATTCCTACAAACATAAAATTCACAAATAACTATCATTTAATTAAAATATAATTAAATTCAAAAACACTACTTAAAATATAAATGAGCACATACATTAAATTAATAAAAATTACCTTACAATCCTAATTACTTTAAACTAAATCATTGCTAATAATAATTTTCCCAATAATACCAAATTCCTTTACTTCCACCTTACATTTAGAACAATGCATAAAAATAATATCCTCAAATAATTAAAAATACTAACTTACCTAATCTTCTTCATAATCTTGATTACGTGTCCGATAAACTTATTTCTGTTTCAGGATCTTTAAAAATCATACTTATATTTCACAGCAAGGTACCAGGTAAAATAAATAACTTAATAAAACATCTTTATTTCTATCTCGCACAACCTTAAAGAAACATTTATTACTACCCTTTTCAATACCACTAAATATCCATTTCGAATTCACTTTAGTTACGGCCATGGGATCCAAAAATTCACGAACACTGTTTCACACAACACAGAATAAAGCCAAATACAAAATTTCCAGATTTTTTTGCCGATTTCCCCCCTTTTCCGATTAAAGAACCGTAATTCGTCCATTAATATCACATGACATATCCCATGATCTCTCATTTCCCTCACACAAAATAATGCGTAATCGGAACTGAGTACTGCTCACATTATTACCAAAGTCCCAGGTAGTAACCTTTATCGCCTCCAAAATGTCGCCAAACTACCAGTTACCATATTGTAAAGATCAACCCTTATTTCTTTTATTCGTACGTGCTCATTTAATATGCCTCTATTACAGTCAAGTAATGGAAATTGTAAGGTAGTGATCAAGATATAAATGTATCTTATTAATGT